CCGACCTCCACTGTCTAGGCTTGGGCAACCTGACAGTATCCCAACCCTCGTGCTTCCTTCGGGTGGCATGGCAACTAGGCACCGGAAGTGATGCTACAGCTAAACGCCCAAACGAGAATGGGAGAACCACCGTGACTTCGTTCGTAAGAAAGCCATGCCATGGATTAATTTGAGAATGGATGGTGGAGAGGTACTGATCCGTAATAAATCTTCGATAATTTCTTCGCTACCGCAAACAAACCGACTGATTCTCAAACCGAAATAAATAAATAAAAATAGAAATGAACTAAGGAAGTAGAAAGCGATAGTCAGCATAAGAACGGTGAAATCGTGCGACAAACTGGAATACTAACCTCCTCTTTCTCACCATCAGCAATATACACCGTATGACCACCCCAAGAAGTCGGCCAACGGTTTACGGAATCCCCCTTTCCATCGAGCTGTTCAGTGTCATCATCACTTTCTACTGGTCCATATCCCCCAAGATGTAATGTAGATTCTAAACGCCAACTGGTGTCCAGGACGTCCGAATCCGCCAACAATGTGTAACTGCCGATGGTCCAACGTCGAAATTGAGGGTCACTGGGTCTAGCTAGCTCCGACTCGGGTGTCGAAGAAGAACAACTTTCACCGTTTTCCAGATGAGAACGTTTGGCTGATGGTTCGTTGAACTCTTTCTGATGTAAAGAAGACAATTACGTGAAGCACACCGAATGGATGCAATCTACGACTGAAAAACACAATAACGAACAAACTACTTGTGGAATCAACTACGTGGTGATGGGCCTTGAAAGCCGCAGCGATCCCGCGGGATTAACTGGCGGGTTACACTTCGTCGTAGGTCTAATCACGTAAGCTAGGCTTGAAGGCAGCAGGCAGATGAAGAGAAGCAAACCCTCCTCCCCCGTAATACGGTAATATGGGGCGGTTTATAGTGAAAACCGATAGGAGAGAAGCAAGTGGTGAATCAGGGATTTTGGCCTTACAGGAGAAAGGACAGACTAGAAAAGGTGGGTCCTGAAAATCATCAATTGGTGGACCCTGACCGACGGCTAATTATCCACTACGGCTGAAATACAATTAAAACCTACAAGAGTCCGATGCGGCTCCATGAGTATGACATTTGTGGTTCATTCTCTGTTCCATAGGCTAGACCAGTACTGGAGGCGAGGTGGTTCAAGCGGTTAGAGCGCGAATTTACTGACCGGAAGGTCCGTGGTACGAACCCGACCTGCTGTCTCTCGACTTCCCCTGTCTAGGCTTGGGCAACCTAGCAGTATCCCAACCCTCGTGCTTCCTTCGGGGGGCATGGGAGCTAGGGTGTCAGAGATGAACGAGACCAGTACCCAGCAACTATGTGGGACTAAACAAGTAAATCATTGGCTTCAGGTAATGTCTTCTATGAAAACTCTATTATCCGCGACATTGTGGTCAAGTTATCGTAAGAAAAGCACTGTCTTATTTAATTCAAAGGCCCAAGGCCGCATACATCAGACAAACTCCATTCACCGGTCAGTTCACTAACCATTTTCCGCGTCTCAGTTACCATATAGAAATATCGACCAAAGTAATCGAATGTTGAGCTCAACAGATCCGATTCAAGCCTCAGCTTCCAGTGTCTGTACACCTCTTCAAGTAAGGGAATGGACATTTCTTACTGAAACTTCGCCTACTCTTCCTGTTGATGTATGTTGTGTGTCTCCCTCACCAGATTTCACTTTGATCGTGCACCTTAAGCTGCACATTCCACATTCGTTCTTCGGGCCTCTGGTGATTCCGATGCATCTATGGCGTGGAAGCAGCATTCAGTCCAGATCTGAAGGCATTTATCCCACTGGATTCCAATAACAAGTCTTTCTTGAGTCGCACAATCCAATTTAGATCAATGCAGGTCAGTGGTGTCCATTTATCGTTCAAGCACATGCCCCAGTAAGGTCTAGTCCTGGAGCTGAGAAATGCGGGTTATATTGAGATATGCCGCGACAGCTTCTATCAGCAACAGGGCACTGGCGGAAGAGGCGCAGTCAGGTGGTCCATTCGGAATCGATGTTCAGTGCATTGATAGTAAAGAGCGAATAATTTAGTTGTGAGCTGAATGTCAACTGTTCCCGGAGCCGTAAGAGTTACTGGAAAGCCAGTCATATACTCAGCTGGATAATGCGGTTATGAGTGAAAGATGTAGAGCCTCAGTTGAAGACTGTACGAAACAGGACGACAGTGTGCCATTGTACGAACCCGGTTGTCGCTTCGCTTCCCATGAGTACTACACATACTGAAGCAAAGCACCATTGCCTATCGACATCGACGGTTCTAGCAGCTCACCAATATCAAGCTGATCTGGCTGTAAAAGTAGAGTTTTGACGGACAACCGGCGCAGTGGTTGCTCACTTGGCTGACACCGTTCTTGACTAAGGTACAAAGTGCGTGTCTATCTAACAACATCCGCTTAACATGAAAATCTGAACATAATCGAGGCCAGTAAGATTCGTCCAAACAGCCCGAGTTTGTACAAACAGAAAGCGCTCGTACGTGCAGTGGGGTCTCTCACGGCCTGCTCACTTAAATGCTGGCCACAAGAAACAGCTTTCACACTTACAACTCCGTTCTGTCGTTGTTTCACCTGTATGTATAACTCAGTTTTCCTTTTTTAAAACCCTTAATCTGTATTGACCAGAAAAAGAGATCGCAAAAGCAACTTTGGTCGTTATCTCGTGCTCCACACTTCACACTTTCATGCATGCGACAGTGGAATGCAAGGAGCGACATATATCTCAGGCCACGCAATGGAGTAAAACGTTTCACAATGATGCATGATAAATCTGGTCTATCAAAGGTTGATTAAAATGGTTTAAAAAGAAAACATCTAACTTTAGAAAGTTGCGATTAGTCTGACCGACTTTTCTTGTGTACAAGAGTCAGATAGCCGAGCATTAAGGAGTCTATATGAATGCCAACGCCATTTATATGACGAGAGACAACGCTCAAGGATGCCAATCCATTCATAAATTAATGAAAAGCTTTTTTCTGTCCGAATATTCGGTCACTGAGTCAGTCAGTTCATGTTCGGATCATGCAAATGTATTGAATACCTCGGCAGAAAGGATACATTTTGGTGACGGTGTATTTAGGTGAGCGGAGCAGACACTTTGCGAGCATGGTACAAAACAGAAGCAAAGTATCACGTGGAGGGAGATGACGAGAGAGATTGCAAATCATCTGGATCCTGTCCTTGTGGTTCGCATCCCAGGATAGGATCCACAAGGTCTTGTTTGTACATGAGGGGGGCGAGATGGCTCAAGTGGTTAGAGCGCGAATTTAGTGACCGGAAGGTCCGTGGTTCGAACCCGACCTCCGCCACTCAACTTCCCCTGTCTAGGCTTGGGCAACCTGACAGTATCCCAGCCCTCGTGCTTCCTTCGGGTGGCATGGCAGCTAGGCACCGAAAGGGCGCTACAGCTGAACGATTATTATTTTTTTAAAATTTGTACATGAACAAAGACGTCAAAAGATACGGGGCCAACCGATTACAGTGGCTTTCCCATTGTCCGTTTTAGTCCAGAATGTTCGAGTGCACGTCTCTAAGACTAGGCATCTCGGATGTTTGTGACAAGCTAGCTATTTCCTCTTTTTCATCACCTTCAACAGATGAGGCTTCATCCGAAAAAATGCTGTACAGTGGCCTCAAGGTAGTTGGGCGCCAGAGTTCTCACACTAGTGCTGCTGTCAAGAACGCAGCACCAGAAGCTGCATTGGTTGGGACATGTGTTGCGCAAGCCGAACCATGGTTTGCCGAAGAGAGTACTGTTTTCCATGCCCAACTCAGAGTGGCGTAAACAGAGAGGTGGCAAACCCATGACCTGGCAGAGGAGTACGAAGGAGATCACAAAACGCTTGGGTGCTGTCGGTGCTACTCGCCTTCCAGGATGGAGACCGCGTGATCCTCACTGTGCCTGGTTAGAGACACTACAGGATATGGCTGCCAACCGATATCAGTGGCGTGCTTGTTGTCAATTTCTATCCAGATCGCCTGAATGAATGTCTGGAGGTGTAGGAACCTCGGAATGATTGTGGTAAGCTAGCGATAAGTCCCTTTCCCGTCCACCTTTACTCTTTTCTTTACAATAAGGCTTTCAAATAAGTCATGGTTGTACGGCAGTGAAGCATCGGTGTTGAACGCTGATGTCATGCTGTCGATGAGTTGGGCGTTGGAAATCAACACCCTCTTCGGCAAACGATGATTAGGCATACGCAACATATAGCTATCGATAAATAAACCAGTTGCGTCCAGGCCAGTTTTTATTTTGCTGAGACCGAAGTTGACAGGGAGGTGTTTACTCTAGAGTGATCGAATTGGAGGGTACCATGGTCAGGATTCCTGAGCGGCTCACCTGACTTTGCTGCAGCAACGAGTCGGGATGTAACCGAATGCCACACAGGTCGCTAAGAACGACCAACATAGCCTCGGATCGGAATAGTCTGTAGAGTTCGCGTACAACATCTGGTGCGGCGTCTTCTGACGAGTCGAACTTTCCAACACCCCGGAGTACATCGTAGTTTCTGTACCGAAAAAAAGATGCGAGGGAATAAGAAGAGAAACGGACGGAATCCATTGCAATAGTGTCGGAATAAGCATGGGAAGAGGCACGGGGAGGAGAGAGGAATTCAAAAAAAGACTTACTTTCGATTGAAGGGACCACATCTGATCCAGGCAGACGGTTTAATCAAGGCCAGAGCGTGACATAAACGGGACCACTCGTCAGCCTACAAAAGATAATGAATTTAGGTAAAACGGAATCTTACCTGGGAGAAAAAAATCGCTCAGCTGTAGCATCCTTTCGGTGCCTAACTGCCATGCCATTAGAAGTAGACACGAGGGCTGGGATACTGTGAGGCTGCGCAGGCCTACACAGGGGAAGTCGAGAGGCAGGGGTAGGGTTCGAACCACGGACCTTCGGGTTAGTAAATTTGCGCTCTAACCACTGAACCATCTCGTCACATATTAGATTCTATTTCGGAACGGTATTACTAGCCAGAAACATATAACTGAGAGAAAGTAGAATTCCACGATGCTCTGTACAGCGAAAACCTTCGATCAGTTTTGCACCGGGAGAACCAGTCGGTCGGGTCCAAGCCAGAAACTTACTAGATGATTAAATGGCTCTCGAAGCAGCCAACTTAGTGACAGATCAAACAGGGCCAGCAAGAAGACGTAAACCTAATCAGTCATCTACGGTAAAGTCTGTGACAAACGCACTCCACTAATGAATGTGTGGGTTACCAGTGGCGTTAAAGCGTCGCTTTTATTTGTCGTTGAGGAGAATTTTGCTAGCTAAGGTAGCATAGATGGTCGTTAGTTTGTTAGCTGAGCTAAGCAAGTTAAATAATAAAAAATCATTCGGCTGTAGCACCCTTTCGGTGCCTAGCCGCCATGCCACCCGAAGGAAGCACGAGGGCTGGGATACTGCCAAGTTGCCCAAGCCTAGACAGGGGAAGTCGAGAGACAGCAGGTCGGGTTCGAACCACGGACCTTCCGGTCAGTAGATTCGCGCTCTAACTACTTGGGCTATCTCGCTGAGCAATTTGATTGAAAACGTGCCATTGACATCATGAGTGAGTAGTGGAGTGTAGCGATAAGCATACGTGACCATAGATGTTTATTGTTGTTCAGTAGTTATAGGATAAAATGTCAGCTTAGTGAGCCAGTCTGGTTAGTGAGTGCAAGGGAAGAGTATCAGGTGAGCATCACGCTTCGAACTCCACTAGCTAGTGGTGACGGTATTTATCTGTACGTCGATCGTGTCACAGCTGATTCAAAACCATATCAACGGTTTGTGCCATATAAGAGAAGGTCTGTAGCTCTAGTGAGGATATCGACTGAAGAAATGCCTGCAACAAAGCCACCAAATCAGGTCTATCGAATGCAAAAGCGCCCAAAGGAGATCTGGAACGTAGGGGCATGTTCATCACCATAGACCCTCATCTAACATATGAGTGGCTTTAGTTTGAGATAGGACAATCCACCAACTGACTCGCTCACCAATTCGTCTAGAATACGGTGACTAGCGACCATGACAGGGCATGGGGACCCATTCTGAACCGATCCTCACAAGGACAACACCGGGTAGATAAGGTCTCTAGTTGAAGATGTGCTTGGTAGTCGGACAACTGGGAAACCATTGCGCATACCACCAAAAGGGCTGCTTGATTCTTTGTGTAGGGAGACGGGTGCAGTCTCATTCTGTGTTTAAGGCGAGAGAGGCAGCCAATATGGTGAGGGTCCCGAATTCGGTTGTCCGAACGGCAGTTCACGACCTTATCAATTAGGCCAAGCAGACAAATCAGTATGCGCTGGAAATTAGTCTGTCAAACGCTGCCAAACGGCGGTGGTTATCTGGTATCCTTAAGACGTCATGAGAGCTCTTTTAGGGGACGAGATCGCCCAAGTGGTAAGAGCGCGAATTTACTGACCGCAGGGTCCGTGGTTCGAATCCGACCTCTGCCTCTCGACTTACCCTGTCTAGGCTTGGGCCACCTGGCAGTATCCCAGCCCTCGTACCTCCTTCGTGTGGCATGGCAGCTAAGCGCCGAAAGGGTGCTACAACTGAATGCTTTGCTTCGTTCTTTCTCTTTTAGGCAGATGAACTCACACTCGATGAGGAAAAGCAGGGTAAACATTAAAAGTTCAACGTTCGTCCTATGCAGACAGCAAATGTTGATCTTATTGTTGCGCATAAACTGCAGTGAAACCAGTTCAGTGGTAGGAAGACGGTAGGCTAAAATATCTACCATATGCATAGCGTATCCAGGAGTAGAATACACGTCGACAACAGAACCAAAATTGCTCAGAAAAGGCTCGCTTCCTACTCTGGGACGGCATCGAAATGGAACTTACTCTGAGGAAATTCATCAGCTGAATTTCAGATGACTTGATGAATCGACGTCGGATTTTCGACTGCTGCTTCATATCCAGGTAGATGGGACTAATCCATCGGTAAACAAGTTCCTCCTGGACGGAAATCGAGGTGAGGGAGAGAGTGTGTTTAGCATTGCAAAAGGAGGTAGGCTGCAGGGACTTAGGATCACTTGGAGTGTAAGGTCTCAGAATCTGGTTTCGAAGTTGTCATATAAATTCGAATAGTCGCAAAGAGCGCATGGATGGGGCTTAAGGAAGATCACAGAGATCATTCAGCAACAAAGAATTATACGGGAAAAGATGACGCTCTGTTGGACAGCGCGTGGACCTTTTTTAAGAAATAACTGTTCGTGGTATCTGACAGATGGTTAACGATGAACCGAGGAAGACAGTTCCTGTCAGTGCTATTGTTGGAGCTGACAACCATGGAGAGTGATAATCTCCAACGTGGCAAAAATCCAATAACTTTTTTGGACATGCGTATTCGTTGGAAGCGACTTCACTCGAAACCGTGGTACCCGTCAGATCAATATAAGCAATGTACACTGAGCAGGTAAGCGTCGAGACCAGGTAGAATTCCACCGCAATAAGTATCACCCACCAGAAGCGAAAGAGAGAATGTGAAAATCGGACAAAACAGACAAAAGACGCATCAAGGTTCCGGAACAAACACCAAAGCTGTTCAAATTCATCATCATCATCATCATTGTCAGCTGTAATAACCGCGTACTTGTCGTACAGTGATTGTAACTGCCACAGTTTCGTTCAAATTGCTCATTGAACAGACGTAGTCTGCATTTTAGCCGGTCTGGATCGAGCACCGACGACAAATTTACTTCCAACAGTTAGGGTCAGGGATAAACTGGGAAGACATACTCCGCTTTAACAACCGAATTGAAAAAAAAATTGTGGGTTGTGGTATAGACGAGGCCCATTTGAGTCTCATCTGGAGTATCGAGCACTACCGAGCAGCGCCAAGACAGCACACGATTTGCGTTTCTTCGGGATGTACGAAAAACAAGCGGTAGGCAAGTAGGAAGGTGGAAACAGACAGCACGATAGGAGGCTGTCGAATTCCGCTTCTGAATGAGATATTAACAGGGCGACCATGCTTTTAGGCTGGTGTGTCAGACGGTTGGGCGAAGATGAGTGACATTCGAACCCTTCTGAAAACTATACACTGTTTCACGTACTTTGTTCAAATCGAACTGTCTGTTCTGCGAGCTGTTATCCAAAGAAGGGGGATGAATAAAAAAACGTGAGCTATTATATTAATCATGAGCTACCAGTATAACGGTGATATTACTGATGGGAAGGCATGCGAGTAGTACGTTTTCCTCCTGTAAATTCGCTTTGCCTCTCTGGTGGAGTTGCTTTGTAGCATTTACTTGGACTTGAGCAACAGTCAATGGATATCCAGGAAAGTTCAGGAAGACGCGTTCAAGAGAAGATGGATGTTCAGTTTTTATAAACAAGATGCATATGAGAGTTTTGCTTCCCTGTCTAACAGTCTGTAACTGGTCAGTTGGAATTTTTTAATAGGTAATCCACAGTGAAGGCCTTCTTCCTTTCATCAGGAAGGGCTAAGGGGCGACCGGAATGTGCAGCCCACTTCCAACTGTTCCTGTCTTGGAAGTATCTCAGCCCTGGTGCTTCCTACGGGTGGCACCCCGGAAGGGTGTTACACACACGAACAGTTAATTGTCACATGTGATGTGATCAGGTTCAAATATCGATCGAATAAACTGCATTCAAAAACATTCCATGTGAGCAGCGGGATGCCTCTGAACGATGTCGCGGCTAGACGTAATCGGCCAACACTATGGCAAACCAATCTGGAGATCCGGCCACGAGATAAGGGAGTCCGGGAACAACAACATCCCAGTGCGTGCGAGAATCTCATCAACTTGCCCAAACTTACTCAGTCCAAACTGGTTCTGCCGCATCCCTATTTACACACACCTCACCTGACCTACCTCACACAGATTGAAAAGGATTTACTGGCCAAGGTACGCCCGTCCCTGCTGCAATATGACTCATGGGCCAGACAACCATGGGCGAACTACCATCTGACGGTTTCTCCAGTCTCACTGCACACACAGAGCTTGTCGCATGCAACCTACTCTGACCCCAGTCCAGGGAGACTTCCCCCACTGATTTACAAGTGAGAACCACATGTTCCATGCAAAACAGACCATTCGGTTTTGTGTTCGAAATAAAGAACCTACTGACCACTAGAGATGATATCGTCCGTTGTGGACTCTCGGATTGGAACAGCTTGCCGAAGTGAACACGGTTGATGATATGATTCGTAACTAAGTCAGAAGGAGAGAGAGTAAGGTAGAAGGCGATCACACAGATGCTTCTATGCTGTCTCAGTTGGAAATACAAGCAAACAGGATCGATGCCAGCTAGTCTTGGGTTGACCGGTGAGTCACTTAATTGGGTGACAGCAAGGGCAAAGAGGACAATCGATAGGAAATTTCGCCGGGTAATGTCTAGTATAGATGTGAAAGTCAAATTACCACACCAAGTGGCAGCCACCACATGAATCATTTGCGAAGCCAGTGTACTGTCTTTCGGACTCGGGGATTTATCCTGCTTCGATCCAACTTCACTAATACTGCAGTGCATCTCGTTGCTTCAAGGGTCTTTTGACTCGAATAACGATGCAAGCTGCACTGTGCAGACGCGGTTCTGCGGAACTTGATAAAGACATATCGGGAACACAGTTAGTTCGGGCTGATATTAGTGAACTGGTTTTGTGACGGAAATCGAGTTTATGAAACCAGCGACCCGATCATGTGCTACCTGAAGACGATGAGGGGATGGGTTGGTACATCCTTCCGAGTCTGAATATTGATGGCACTGTGTCCTAAGCCAAATTCAGAGTGACACACTCTAAGAGGTGAGCAAACTGTGACTTGGGATAAAGAGAGCTTACAAGGTCTGACAGCTGTCGACAGTGTGCGCTTCCCCAGATTACAGCCATTGGGCCTTCATCGCTCCAGGGTAGCGACACTGCAAGATATGACCGTTGTCCAAGGTTGCCCCATTGGCAGCTCTCATTCAAACCTGCAAGATGACTGGAAGTGTACTTCAGGCAACTCAATCTAATTTCGTTATTCTTCATTATAGGGCTGTATTCAGATAAACTGAAGTGATTGTACAGCAGTGTTAGGCGGGCAGAATGGTAAAGAACTAGTACGAACCAGCAGACGTTCCTTACGCGAGCGATTTGTGTCAACAACTCACTTCTACGTGTACTGGGGAGACAAGAGGGATCGGTGTTGGGTGGTCCCTATCTGTAGGTCGCGGATGTGGTGGGCCGTGGAACCATCCATGAAGCGAGAGACGATCCCGGACACCGAGATTTTCTGCGACCTGAACAGAGGGTAAGAAAGTGCGCGATATTTGAGCAAAAATCCTATGTAAAGGGGATGATATCTAATGCCGACGGTTGTGCAGAGGACCAAACTTTTTCCCAGTAGAAAAATCATGAATTAGGGTGACCAACTTTCCTTACCTAACTTGTGCGATATTGATTAATTCCGCTCCATTAATGCCTGAAAAAGATACTACCCATGGCTGGAAAGCTTGAAAACTAATGTTTCATCAGTGTATCAGATATAAAGAAGAGAACGGAAGGTGTTAACCACTTTCAAGAATGAGGTTCATGTGACCTGTCCGAAATTTCGCATAAGTCACCGTAAACATGCTTGCAAGCGATGCATTATCATACATGGTAAAAATACAAAGAAGGATGAACTATAGTGTCAACTCATTCCCCGGGAAAAGTGGAGACACGGTCAATCTATTTATCTGGTATAAACCGTGTACCATAGACATACTGGTTCCAGCTGCTACAGCTTCCATCATCGGAAAACAGGACTGAGGGACATACAACCAAGCCTCGGATGAGATGACATGTTCAGTTAGTAGGGGAAATCGGTAGGCGATGGATCTGATGCAACAGCGTCACCAACTGTGCGAGTGGACCATTTCTACCAAAGTTATTATTAAGCAGTGGTGAGTCGAGTCTCGGGTTCCCCATCCAGGGAGGCAGCTGTTGTCGACCCGACTCAGTTTACTGGTTAGTGTTTTCACACCAGGTCATACACTGTTCACCTGTTGGTCACTTCCACTCAGTAGAGAGCTGGGCGAAAAGAGTTCTGTAAGGAATACGCTCTCTTATGGCATGCGGAGCACATGTCCTAACCGACGTAATCTATGAAGCAAGAGTAATTCATCTATTGCGGGAAAGTTCTTTCTTCCTACGACTATCTGGCACACACTTGCGTTACCCGATATACCCATCGTACTCGCCAAGGCTTCGGAGACACCGATGGTCAAAGACTGACATCACCCGTATGTCCTCTGTGCGTAGATGCCATGTCTCTGACTCATAAAGTAGTATAGATCGCAAGGTACAACGACACAATGTCCGCCAAACAGTTCCTTAATCCAATTGGTATTTGGAACACACGCGACCACGCGCTCGTTCTGCGTAATTTGCAGACAAATAGCTTGGCAACTTAGATTACGAAACATTTGGGTGCTGTCGGTGCTACTCGCATTCTAGGATGGGGATCGCGTGATCCCCACAGTGCCTGGTTCGACACTCTGCAAGATATGGCTGCCAACCGATGTCCCTGGCGTTCTTATCAGTTTCCATCCAAATTGCCTAAGTGAATATCTGCAGGTGTAGGCACTTCAATGATTGCAGTAAGCTAGTACTAAGTCCCCTCCCCGTCCACCTTTATGCCTTCCTTCACAATCAGGCTTTCAAATAAATCGTGGTTGTAAGGCAGCGAAGCAACGGTGTCGAACAGTGATGTCATGCTGTCGATGATAATAATGTTGTATTCCTGTAGCTCCTATACTACCAACAATAATGAGGAAATTATATCAACGGTATCAGTAACTTGTGAAAAGGGACTCAGGTGGGTGGTAAATGGGTTGCCGAGGTCAAAGAATATCAAAATACTGTGTGGCGAAGGACGACTGATCGTTGCCAGAATTGGCTATCCATAACTTCATTATGCGAAGGGTGTGCAATGTGGAGTAGGATCGATTTATAGCAACCGTACAAAGTGCCAAACACAGCCAACAAGCTGTCGATTTTGGCAGCAAACGCGCCTGTCGTAGTTCCAACTTTTGTCCAATTGCACGGGGTTTGCGGGGGGGGACTTCCGTTGGGTTATGGGATTTTCGTGCCCGCAGGGAGACCAAATTCACCTGGGGAGTTGGTGTGACAGACCCGGATGACTGCAAATTACAGCATTCCTATGAGGCTGTGTGACTGATTCGGGTTTGTTACGGGCCCAGTAAGCTGAAAACTTTATAAATTAGCGAGTTCAACGAAAGCATTAGCTTTTGCGTCTACAATAACAGAAAAATGTATGCCATAGTATACGAGAAGCCCAACACGTAACGATCAGTGACGATAAGCGGTAAATTTTTCGGGTGAAGTGTGTTGGTCTTCCGTGGTTGCTTTATTTCCGTTTTGGACGTCGAGTAAGGTACCTCAAACACAACAAGAACCCACCTGATGGAACGAGTAGGCTGAAGGTTCGAAAAACACCAGCATGTTACGACGTGGTGGCAAGGAGGCGGTTATCTTCCATGGATTGATCGGTACCGTGGGCTTCTCTGCCACCACTGGTACGTGAAGTTGCTGGTCCGGTTGGCAGCTGAACAAGTCCAGACATCCTCCTTCTGTTTGTTCGTCCCAATCATCAGGGACCAGATACCAGACAAATGCAATCCTTCGCTTTTCCAGTTGATCGTCATGACAAAGCAGAACGTCTGAGATAAAGAGAAAAAGATAATCGTTCAGCTGTAACACTTACGGTGCCAAGCTGCATTCCACCCGAAGAAAGCACGAGGGCTGAGATACTGCCAGGTTGCCCAAGCCTAGACAGGGGAAGTCGAGAAGTAGAGGTCGGGGCAATAAATTCGCGTTCTAACCACTGGGCCGTCTCGTCTGAGATCCCAGTCACCAAATGTGAGGAAAATATAAAGAATCGGTTGCAAAGAATACAATTCAGACCAACCTATTGAAGCCACGAACACCGGTAATAAGCGTTGTTACGCAAGGCTGCAAACGGTTTAGGAGTCTTGCTGACAGACGAAACCACGTAACATGATAGAAGACAGCAGACTTGCCTACGAACGACATGCCGTCTCCCGGTAAATTAACGTAGCTTTAGCCTGTGAAGAAGCGAGCTCCAAGATGGATCAAAGTGTGCTTTAACAGTGTCTTTACAGCGAGTTAAAGCTGCACACCTTCAGGTGTGACCTGCGAAGTAGCAAACAAAGCCAGCGACTGTTGAACACAACCACATCCGTTTCCATTCGTTCAGTCCAGTTGGTGCACCACAGAGTTTAATCGACGCCTCAGATTTTTTGACGCATCTAATGAAGCGGGGTCAATTACGCTGTTCATATTTGTTTTAAACTGCTCCGATCACGTTTCCCGTGGACGAACCGAATACTGTGCAGTCCTGACCGGCAGCACTTCCCGTCTAAAAGAACGCGGTGACAGCAAACCACAGCTGGTTTACCCGAATTACGCAAAAAAAGAAACAGGCACACAGGAGTGATTACCACAAAACACTATCTACAAAATTGGCCAAAACTCCCCAGCAGTTCACTACGGATTTGGGGAGTTCATCCCTACTCTTCATCAACCTGATTTTCTGAATGGATGACAGACAGTCGGAAGCGGATGAATCCTCTTCAACTGAATGTCCCGTACAAAGATCGCCATATGCTTCAGTTGGGACAATGTTCAGAATACCGAAGTAATTTTCGCACCAGCACTAGTGATGAGTTGTAAAATGAATATTCTCCAACAGCATAGTATCGGCATAAAGCATTGGCATAAAGGGGTAGTTAGAGTAAAGCCCCTAAGTGGGTATCTCAAGCGTCTGTTGAACAAGCGAGATAGAAGTAAGTGCCCCTGGGTGACATTTCTGGTTTTTCAGACTTGTGACCTCTTCCTGGGTGTGCGGGGGAGACTGTGCAGTATCCCATGGGCTTGCTACGACTGACACGCCTTTGAAAGGCTGATAAGGTCCAACAGTGTTGGGGAGATCAATATCCCCAAAAGCCGTTTAACTGTAGAATTATTGCCAGTTGTTTGAGGTTCGAAAAACACCAGCATGTTACGACGTGGTGGCAAGGAGGCGGTTATCTTCCATGGATTGATCGGTACCGTGGGCTTCTCTGCCACCACTGGTACGTGAAGTTGCTGGTCCGGTTGGCAGCTGAACAAGTCCAGACATCCTCCTTCTGTTTGTTCGTCCCAATCATCAGGGACCAGATACCAGACAAATGCAATCCTTCGCTTTTCCAGTTGATCGTCATGACAAAGCAGAACGTCTGAGATAAAGAGAAAAAGATAATCGTTCAGCTGTAACACTTACGGTGCCAAGCTGCATTCCACCCGAAGAAAGCACGAGGGCTGAGATACTGCCAGGTTGCCCAAGCCTAGACAGGGGAAGTCGAGAAGTAGAGGTCGGAGCAATAAATTCGCGTTCTAACCACTGGGCCGTCTCGTCTGAGATCCCAGTCACCAAATGTGAGGAAAATATAAAGAATCGGTTGCAAAGAATACAATTCAGACCAACCTATTGAAGCCACGAACACCGGTAATAAGCGTTGTTACGCAAGGCTGCAAACGGTTTAGGAGTCTTGCTGACAGACGAAACCACGTAACATGATAGAAGACAGCAGACTTGCCTACGAACGACATGCCGTCTCCCGGTAAATTAACGTAGCTTTAGCCTGTGAAGAAGCGAGCTCCAAGATGGATCAAAGTGTGCTTTAACAGTGTCTTTACAGCGAGTTAAAGCTGCACACCTTCAGGTGTGACCTGCGAAGTAGCAAACAAAGCCAGCGACTGTTGAACACAACCACATCCGTTTCCATTCGTTCAGTCCAGTTGGTGCACCACAGAGTTTAATCGACGCCTCAGATTTTTTGACGCATCTAATGAAGCGGGGTCAATTACGCTGTTCATATTTGTTTTAAACTGCTCCGATCACGTTTCCCGTGGACGAACCGAATACTGTGCAGTCCTGACCGGCAGCACTTCCCGTCTAAAAGAACGCGGTGACAGCAAACCACAGCTGGTTTACCCGAATTACGCAAAAAAAGAAACAGGCACACAGGAGTGATTACCACAAAACACTATCTACAAAATTGGCCAAAACTCCCCAGCAGTTCACTACGGATTTGGGGAGTTCATCCCTACTCTTCATCAACCTGATTTTCTGAATGGATGACAGACAGTCGGAAGCGGATGAATCCTCTTCAACTGAATGTCCCGTACAAAGATCGCCATATGCTTCAGTTGGGACAATGTTCAGAATACCGAAGTAATTTTCGCACCAGCACTAGTGATGAGTTGTAAAATGAATATTCTCCAACAGCATAGTATCGGCATAAAGCATTGGCATAAAGGGGTAGTTAGAGTAAAGCCCCTAAGTGGGTATCTCAAGCGTCTGTTGAACAAGCGAGATAGAAGTAAGTGCCCCTGGGTGACATTTCTGGTTTTTCAGACTTGTGACCTCTTCCTGGGTGTGCGGGGGAGACTGTGCAGTATCCCATGGGCTTGCTACGACTGACACGCCTTTGAAAGGCTGATAAGGTCCAATAGTGTTGGGGAGATCAATATCCCCAAAAGCCGTTTAACTGTAGAATTATTGCCAGTTGTTTGAAAAAAAATTAAATTCTCGAACCATGTAACGAATTTTTCCAAAACGTTTTGTATGAGCCTATATATATATATATATGTTCTACGATGCTTCAGCTGTGCATTGCCTTTGGTTGACGGAGTGATAGCTCCCCTCCGAAGGTCCGGTCTTCGGCACTGGGAGTGTGCATTGCCTTTGGTTGACGGAGTGATAGCTCCCCTCCGAAGGTCCGGTCTTCCCTCGGCACTGGGAGTGGTTGGGCTTGCGTCATAGCATTGGTTCTCGCGTATGGTCTTTGATCGTGCCCGTTCAGTTTGTAACACATAGGTCTTACTTGAGCTTGTCCATGAACCAACGGTACTAGGATGGGAGGGAGAGATGTCCTCGTTCAGCCTGTATGCGTCTTGAACTAGCCTGTCGATAGGACCTGGCAATTCGAGCTACCTTGACTGTTAGCGGCGTACCTACAAAACTCGTAGCTATCAACGAAATTTACCACTCACCCAGGTACCCTCTAGAGTATGTGTTCCCTTTCTTCGTGTGAGATGAGGACGCGCGTTGCTCCAGGCGATAATCCTCCCAGACGTGAAACTTGGTCGTTTCGGCGAAATCGGGATTTTTTCCATTGCAGCCCAAAATTCGTCCTGCAAAGCTGAGGGCCGAAAGTCCCCTCACATCAAGAGATGACTTCCTATATAGTTCAATCAACTACATTGCAATCCAGAAATCGAGCCGTGAAGAAAGTGCGTTAGCTCATTTGTTGTATGCAGGATGGTACGACCATCGTGGGGGGCAACTGAAGACACAGAGCTGTTCGGTCATCGTATACCTTACGGGATCCAACGGTGAAACGGAGATTGGGTCCCAATCTGTGCGAGCCTATGTAAGGACCAATGTTATTTAGACGCGACGGTACGTGACATCCTTGGACTCTCTATACATTATTTCTCTTTCGCAAAATATTTGGGTAGAATCCGTGAGGCTCATTCAAGGTATATGTACAACATCTACATCTGTGAACTGAAACGGACTTGGGTCACTGCGCCGCTATCGATCGTCCTTACAATATTCGTATCCGCATTCAACTCCGCCCAGCTCAGTGACTACAAATTAATACTAACACAAGTGGTGTGGCCTTCCAAATTTCCCTTGAGGGCTGCGATCTTTGAAACCTTAGATCACAAAGCGTTATTCTTCCTCCATTCAGTTTAGGGGTGAGAAGGCTCAGTGGTTAGGGCACTAATATACTCACCGGAAGGTCCGTGATTCGAACCCGACCTCTGTGTCTCAACTTCTCCTGTTTGGACTTGGACAACTTGGCAGTATCCCAGCCCTCGTGCTTCCTTCGGGTGGCATGAAAACTGGGCACCGGAAGGATGCTACAGCCGAGCGATTTTTTCAGTTCTGCCAAGGTCTTCCGTCTGCTTCTCATCCTTTCCAGCGGCGCAAGCAACGCTGTTCCGAATTGACGAACTTGTTGAATGGTCCTCTCTCACATCAGATAGGCACACTGAAAACAATGTTGGTAACCTGCCAACGCAAGCCAAATTTAGTGGCTGATTGCTAGTATTCCATGCATTCATTCAGGCTTTATTCAAACTATTTTCCCTGAACAAACCCTTCCGTCCCAGTATAATTATTCTGGTTATTCCACAACAAACAAGCAGTGGGGGGGGGGAGTAACCAGGCAAAGTTCACCTACATCGAGTGCAAAAATGTACCAAAACTGTACGATGAAGGAATACAGTGTTCATCGCATAGTTCAATAGACCCCAATCGAGTGGAAACAATCAGCCTACCATTAGTGCTGTATATGGACGAAGTGAAGTCCACTACCTCTTTTTCCAACGGTGCTCCGGTCAACTGCTCCAACCAAGGAATAACGTTCGATAGTAGAAAGGATCTGTAACGTTTAAAACATGGGAAAGAGGGAACGAATAGTGGTTGAGATTGCAATCACTTACGGTTTTTTTTGTTCCGGGAGCTTGAGATGGCTCAATGTTCCGTGGTTCGGACCCGAACTGTGCATCTCGACCACTTCTGTCCAGGCTTGAGCAACCGTGCAACATCTCCGCCCTCGTGCCCCCTTCAAATGATATGGGAGCTAGGAACCGAAAGGGTGCTACAGCTGGACCATTTTTGATCCGAATCAGGGAGAACAGCCTTCTTCGTATAGTGAGAGGATGAGAAAATCGTTCAACTATCACAGGCTTTCGGTGCCTAGCCGCCATGCGACCCGAGGGAAGCACGAGGATTGGGATACTGTCAGGTTGCCCAATCCTAGACAGGGAAAGTCGAGGGGCGGAGGTCGGGTTCGAATCACGGATCTTCCGGCCAGTAAATTCGCGCTCCACCCACTTGAGCCATCTCGCCCGTTTGAACTCACAACTAGACTAGCAGCTCGTAGCCCACAAACCGAACGTCACTCTAAGAAAACTGACCTCAAGACCGAAAGATAACCAAGAGGAACAATGTGAGATACTAAATCAACTACAAGTTTTATGTTGGACAAACTGAGAGGAAATTATGCACACGAATAAAGTAACACGTGGTTGTCAGTAGACATAACCCTCTACCCTTGATATCCACATAGCACAAATTAAATCCAGAATCTTGATATATGGAGACGCGAGACATAGAAGGGAGTTCCTAGAAGCATAGTACTCCACGAAAGATCAACCGATGCATTGAACTAGGTCCAATTCACGCATCGCTGTAGGAAAAGGAACAATATCTCAATCCGAATACTGAATGAGAGCCCACTAAAGGACTAACAAATCAAGAAACAAGGAACTCCTGGGAGTTGCATCAACAAAGGTCACAAAGTGAAACTCAGGGAGATCTAGGACACACGGCACTCCAGCACCGGCCAGAGCATGGGAGCAGGGAAGGCCAAACTCAAAGGTCACGTGGCAATCGACCGTCGGATACAGGATAACAGAGCAACCAGCCGACCGAACAAGCCCCCGTGATCAGAAGTTAACCTCGGCTAGCAGCATTCGCACCAATACACGCAACACTACTCAAAGCACAACCACCAACCCCCATCGCTACGTTCCCTAACAACGCACTAGTGACGCCGCCTCTATTGATGATGAAACATTTGCAACCAAACTGCCTAGCTCAGCGAACAAAGCAACAGCCACCTACGCTACCAACATTCGCCTCAACAGAATGACGATAGGGGGCTCACCAAGATAGAAGTATGACACAAATAGTGAAATGAAGCGAGCAATTTCAAAATGAATGTTATAGCATACTCATGCAGGGCTAAGTGCGCTTCAGATGATACACATTGTGAATAAAACCCATCGGTTCCAGACGGAGGAGGATCGACTGATTTCGGACCAGTGGGAAAAAGTTACATTGAAGCAAAAACGAGTACCTTGATCTCGACCGTGTCCTCTTGAGCTAGCAGACTTAATAGATTAGCTTCGCGCATCACTAAGCCACTCACATCATCGCCTATTTCCAAGCACCAAGTTTCAATGTCGCTAGTGGGCAGATCACACACCTGCGTCACTAACTCACGTCATTCTCAAGTCTTCGGCGCCTTTCAGTTGCCCTAATCCAGTGAGCAGTCCACTGTTCTTGAGGAGGTTCCATCGGGATCGACGTCTCGAGAGCTTGATTCGCCTAGTCGCGGAGGCTGATCTGGGCAGAGGACACAGATAAACAGGACCATCGGTTTCGTAATACTGCTGCGCATGGCTTGTCATTTTTAGACAGTTAAGGTTTACAGAGTGCTTTGACTGCACCAGATAATGCACAGGCAGTAAAAGTCGACTGCTGGGCAACCGCAGTGAGTGGCCGCTTCTTACCTTTCCTTCCATGGTAGAAGGCAGCGTCGCCGCTAGTAGCCGAGTGAGGTCTCTCACTATCGTAACACACTTGTCGCAGTACAAAGTTTGACCACTTTGCACCACGGGTGTTCGTCGTATACGATTTTGCTAATCGCAGATAGCTCTGCTACGGTCTTTCTGACACTGTTGAACCTCAAAGAATGAAGTTCCAGTTTACAGTGCACCTCCAAATAATACTGCTGCAAGAAAGCCCAAGTATCACGACAAGGCGCAAGTTCTTGGACGGCAATGATATAAAAGAAAGGAACGAAACGGTTCTTGAGGGATCGCCGACAGTTTTGCAAGGTTGATATGGCCAACATTGTGAACATAGGCTTCATTCTCGGTACAGCGTCACTCTGTTCAACTCGTTTGTGTTTATAAGAGCTACTGGTCTGAATATCCGGACTACCTTAGCCCACAACCAGAGTAACAGACACACATAAGTACTCACCTTGTTTCGCTGGACATAGATCCATCCTAGATGGCATTTATTTTATTTTTCAACTGGGGCAGCTACATTTATGGGAACACACACTGAGGCTTTGAGTTCATTCGACAGAATTAACCAGATCTTCTGGATTACGGGGGTAACGACGATTACAACAGAAAAGCCACGGATTACGAAAGGTGAGGGGTGCTGGAGTAACAAGAACACGACATGCACAGTTTATGTCCACTTTTCAATATAGGATGAAGGACCATGTGGCTGATGTGGGGATAGACTTTCCCTGTCTGTCGATAGTAATAACAACAGAAATCTGGTGGGGCCGACAAAAGCCACAAGCGTAGAAGAATGGTCGCTAAAACGAAGTTCTGCTGCGGCTGTTCTCTCCGCGTTGGTTCCTCGTTCCACTAGTAAAAGGTGTCGCGAGTAAAATGAACGACTGCAGTGCACATGGGAGTGCTCTAACTAAACACACCATCATCATCATTGTCAGCTGTAATAACCGCGTACTTGTTGTAGTGGTAGTAGCTGTCACAGTTTTGTTCACCGATGATTCGGGGAGGTGGGGTAGATAGCTGCGCATTGGAGGCAGGGGCTGATAAATTAGTTCGTGGATACAGCATTGTAGGTGGACTAATAAGTGGGTGAATCAGGGAGGCAATAGCTTGGATCCATGAGCGCCATTCACGGCGCGAATAGACCATATCTGACAATGTTCCTAACCATTGATATGGTCCGTCTCGGGGTCCCCATCCAGGAAGACGGCAATGACCAGTGCAGATGAGTTTGCTGGTAATAGCTTTTATACTAAACACACATTAAATAAACACATGAACCTGAAGAAATTGGAAAAACAGGCTGACGTACCTCAGTTGAACCAAGAAAAGGGATTGTGATTCGGCTTCAGTTGACCTGGAACAGCTTAAATTAACCACGTCGACACTTTGACTAAATGTAAACATATCATTACATTTTCGTTCGAATGGCAGCCGGCGGGCTTCAGATTCGGCCCTATTGATCAGTTCATACTCTGAAGCGAAGCAACCATCTGAATTTGTGGCTGTGTTTGAGAACGCCGAAATTACCACTGGACCCCGAAGAGTTCGGTTGCAGAAAGTTTTCAAAAGCGGCACAGGAGAATGGGAGCTTCAATAGCTTACAGCCATCTGAAAAAAGATGGAATTCGGATAGAGTTTATCAAGTGCAGATTCAGGTAAGTTGCCAATACCCAACAGAACTGCAAAACACTGCACTACCAAAGTCATCTCGCCAAACTGACATGCGGATATCAGACTGCCTTTGATCAGTTGTTTTGGAGTGTAGTTCCCTAGTTTGATGTTCCATGCAAGACCATACAACCAAACGCATACGGGCATCCTAGATGCACAGACAAGCATAGTCAAAATGACAAAATTGTGGCGGTATCCTAAATAAAAAGTCCCACTACGGAGCCTGGTTCCAAATTGAGCAGTTGCCAATGGGTCACTCGATGGCGATTACCGCATCCTATGAACAAGCATTTTTTTCGCGTTAAATCATGGTTCTGTTCCGTCACAAAGTCGTTCGTTCGACGACATGTGCGACCATCGAGGTGAGTCGCTTGCCGGTGGACGCCTACGATGAAGATTGCAAGGCATGGATACCAAAGAACGTACACGGAACTGACGAAAGAATGCAGAAATCAGTGAGTGCATTTACGAACGCTGGTATCATAATTCGGCCGTATGGATTTGCTATGATATTCACACACACCTGGACATGGTGGAGTGACTGAATGGGACTGAATAATGAGTGGAGAATGTGTCATTTGGGTTTTCCTTCGGATTTGTCCTCCTGGTCTTGGACGTCAGTGTTCAATAAGCTCAAACAAGGCTATGAAAAAACTGCCACAGGATTCCTTTTCTCCAACGAACATCAGGAAAGTTTCAAACAGAGTCAAAGCTATTGTTAAACATCAGTACATATTACTGATGCATTGCCGCCTACGACTGAGCACTGAAAACAGTGCCCCGTTCTTGTACAGTTTCTCTGTTCTGCTGCCAAACGTACCTCGGGCGCGAAACACGGACCAATACATGCAGGCAGCTTCTGGAGCCTACTCAGTCCAGCCCAGTCAGTTCAGTTTCCAGCATACAAACAACGCATCGAAGTGCAGTGGTTCCAGTCACTACAGCTCTGTTCAGCGAAGATAAGATAGAGCCATGCGTCGGAAGTGATAACTTAATAGGATTACAATCCAACTAACGTCCATAGGATATCTTGTTCCTGATTGAAGGTTAAAATTGAAGACAAGCGCTTATGGAATCAGTGAAACAGAACAGCTGTACATACTAGTGCCACCACGGTAAGTCAACTCCCGGTGTCTAGCTGTCGTTGGTGATCAATTATTATGTACACCTTTCCTACACTCAACACGATGGAACTTATTCCTTTCCCTTCGAGGTTATAGCTTACTGTCCCGTAATAAAATTAAAGAAAGTACTCTATAGAAACAAAAACAACACAGAAGGTTAAGACCCACCCTGTAGAAAATCCGAGATATCATTGCTCTGGTAAGCACTTCTGAATAAATCGACAAAGCTCGGAGTGTTGTAGCGTAGGTTTATTTCGAACGGATAGGTCCCATCAGTCATTGTGAAAGGCACGAACCCAAATGGGAGAGCAAGTTGTCGAAGAATGTGCGTGCTAAAAAGTGATGAAGCGCATCGACTGTTTAAATTACGGACAGTAAAATGAGGTAAACTTTGAAAAAAAAAACATTTGCATAACGGTTGACCGAACCGTGTATGATAACCTTTAGACTTTGAGACGCTCACATGCAAAAATGGTTTGGAATGCATCCACGAACACCACACGCCACAATCAGACTTGATGTTTGAAATTTTTGGTGGAGACTGAGTACCCAAGATCGTAGGTTACAAATGGCTCGAGATGGCTCAGTGGTTGAGGCGCGAACTTACTTACCGGGAGGTCCGTGGTTCGAAACAGAACTGTGCGTCTCAACGGCCTCTATCTACACTTGGGCAACGGAGAAGTATTCCGCCCCTCATGCTTCTTTCGGTTAGCATGGCAGGTAGGCGCGGAAAGGGCGATAAAGCCACAAGAAGCTGCTGTTTCGTTCCGAAGGACTATCACTTCTGAGCCGACTCTCGGAGACTTCTGAACTAGGAACCACGAAGGGCGCACCAGAATTAGTTTTAACTGCGAAGTGGTTGGTGTAGTAACGCTGTTATTCTCAGCTTAGTTCTCGGTCTGAACCTCCCAAGCTAGCGTTCACGTCAAAACAACCACCGAAGGTGCACAAGGTATATTAACGCCCAAAACGAAGTCAGGAACAGTTGCACAGGGCTTCATATATATATAATTATATGTAGCGTGGGCGGCAACAACCGGAAATTCTGACGCGTTCAGGATGCGACATTGGCAACCGGCATTCGGCCAATACTTGGTCATGATTGGGTGATAAGTCCAGACTTTCGACCAATCAGACCTTGGCTTGATGCCATACCGGCAAGCGTCCCGAATTCTTCGCCAATCTTTCGTGGGATGGACTTCTCGGCCGTAGTAGCACCTGAGTACGAGTGGTAAAGCGTGATCCGTGTAGAGTTCTACCTAACAGTTGGTGCCGATAGAGAATTCGAGGCCGATATGCCCTAAACAAGACTGACTGTGTGGGACGAACAGTATGGGCAGTGGAGATCTCTCACTAGTGGTATATATCAAAAAGAACCTGCAGTGCCACTCAGACCAGATATCCAATCACACTCAATCGGACTCGATATCCTAGTTCACTGCAGCCCGGAAGGCGGCTGTTAGTTGAATAGACAATTCACAATCTTCGCACAACTTCGACAAATACACGAAGTTCATATTCAAATGAAGAACGGGTTTTTATGAGTCCATAAGCTCATGAAAAAGCGGGCATTCTTTCTGGCATGCCAGAAGATGGTCTGCCTCACGGGGCTCTCTTCGCCCAGCCTTGTGCCGAGTAGAAACGACCGAAAGTTGGACAATGTATGACCTGGCAACGAAGTACGAAAACGCTAGCCAGTAAAGTAAGTCGGATGGGCAACTGCCGCCTCCCTGAATGGGGACTCCGGGACTTAAATCACCACTGGTTATTAACACTGGTGGAAATGGCCCAATCGCGCAGTTAATGGAACTCGTGCATCAGATCTATCGCCTTCAATGCGCAGCTACCCAATTCCATAACAACTGAGCATGGCCTCTCCTCCAATGCTTGGTTTTGTATTCCACTTTTCAGTTTTCCGGTGATCGAAACTGTACCAGCTGGAACCATTGTGACTATGGCACACGGCTTATAGATGATAAGTTGAATGGAATTGAGTCGCTATAAAATATTACCTCATTAAACCGCAAATATCTGTTCTACGTTTCAACCCTCACCGTCGCTACTCTAAGTCTAATTGTGCAACAGGCACATGTTACGCCCCTCTGTCAAGGTGTGCTTCCAAAACACGCATACATAATCCCAACTCGGTCGTGCACCCTAGGCACCTCGAGTTACCCGGAGGTCCCCAACAGCAAGACAGTCATGGACTCAAATGGACTATGTGCCTATCGGTTACCAAGGGGAAGCCTCAGTTACAGATTGCCGCTCCTTCTAAGGTACGCGATACTATCATGTTGGCCGGGTTATTACTTGGCTTTCCGTCAATATCACGTATACCAAAACACAGCAATTCCACTCCAATTCATCAAGTTTCAGTTGCTCAAGCGCATCGAGCTGACCTTGCTAGAGAGCCACTGGAAATCGACAAAGATACGGATGACGAAGATTTCCTGGGAGTTGAATTGAAATGAGTTGAGAGAGCTACGCTCTAAGCTTTCACAACTGTTTGACCAAGTAATCCGACTCCACCAAATTAAACATAGATGTCGTCGCGATCACCAGGCTGTCCCCCCATTTCAGCCGATTCGACCAACCAGCCGAAATGAGATAAATGTCAACGAAACAATACGCCACCGAACTGGGTTCGAAGGTGCTAGGGATGGATATCGGTGGACATCGAACTGGGCGTGTAAATGATACTTCCCGGTCGCCCAGGCCGGAGAAGGGAGTTTAGTTGAGGCACTCGCCTTGAACCTCTGATTCAAAAGTCTGATCCACGGGGCAGCGAGAGGATGTCGGGTTTTGTTTGGGGACCCTGGTCCTAGCCTATGACTCAAAGGTGTGATCCACGAAGCAATGGGAGAATACGGGGTCTTCCTTGCAGACCTTGCCCAGAGCCGATGGCTCAATAGCCTGGCTTGCTCGGTTATACTGGGTTAGTCTAGCTCGAAGACGTAGGAATTAGGCCTTACTGCCCCATTCCTAATGAAATTACACACAACAGGTGCCTTTTGAACAGCACTGCACTCTTTGGTTTTGAAGTTATTCCGACCGTATCAGATAATGCGCCTGCGAGTACGATCAACCTTTAAGTGATCGGAGTGTGCGGTTTTTTGGGCTGCTCTTTTCTAATCTGTCCCTCTTCGGTAGAAGGCGGTATCGCTGCATCCATGAATATGGACATGCTGATCGCCTGGGAGAAACACCTTACTGCCTTCTCCTGTCTGTCGCAGAGGACAGTACGAATTTACCACAAGACCGCCTCGTAGGACGGTTGCCTGTAGGACGAAGTCTAGCTGCTCTTGGTTTGACTGCTCCCACTTAGCCTTTCTGGCTTGGTTGTAACTTGTGGAACGAGGTTCCAGCCAATGTAGCCCGCGAGATCATTGCAGCACTGAACCCCGACCCCCGCGTCAAGATGGTCCGGAAATCAGCATTAGGTCATGGGGACAATACTCGATTACGAAGGAACGGCAGTTCTCCCACAAAATCGTCTACTTCAGCTATGCGCTGAACACTTCAAAGCTGCCTCTTTCAACGCAACCGCTAGAAGAACCCAGCAGGCCTAAATTGAACATCGATACTGGCCCACCGTCAGCAGAAATCCAGCGTGAGATTTCAGTCCATGAACACAAGGTATATGGCCCTGGCGGTCTGCACCCCGCACTATTCTAATGTAGCGGTGTGATCCTACTGAACAGCCTGACGACTATACTGCAGAAGATCTGGAACGAAAACATAATTGCAGCACAAGGGAGCTCGACCGTCATTCCAGTCCCAAAAAGTGCTCCAGAACGCCATTCGAAAACGGCCTAGGCATCAGCCTTGTAGTTATGGTATCCGAGGTGCCCTCTGGCACCTGTTCCCTCGGTCAAACCCTCTTCCTTACCGCTCTTGCTACCAAACCCTTGGCCTTGAGCCACTATGGCTCAGATGGTTTAAGATTAATCTAAATCTCCTACGCCGCCTGCTGCACAAAAATGCTTTATAGCAGAGGCTAGACCCAACGTAAACTCACGTCCTCGCTACCGATTCCGTAACTCCTGCAACCTTTTAGTATCCCCCCAGCTCGTACAAACATACGTCACTACTTCTTTTTAGTTTACTACGCTCGCATCTGGAACAGCCTTCCTGAGCAGCTGCGAAACATCGCGCATCATCACACTTTTTCTCAGTCCCTGGACAAATTCCTTACTTGTGAAACTGCTGCCGTCCTACTTAAAATCCAACTACCCCCCGACCCCCTATATGAAATAGGTCCAGTACACATTTGAGTATAGCGACGATAATGTTAGTAGGCAAGTAGAAGATCCAGTCATCCTACCTTCCCCACCTCAAGCCACTGCAGGACTTAAACGCTTACTTGATCTGAGTATGTTGTGTTACCGGCCTAGTTGTTTTTCTTTCTCAACCAACCTATACATCGTTCTAGTCAAATCCCTACCCCGGATTACCCTACCAGCTCTGTCTAGTGAGTGGTGCTGTCGGTTAAACTCTAACTGACAAAAACGAAACAAAAGTCAGCTTTTCCTCACTACTATGGCACATTGTACACCGATGTATTTACATCGAATCCACATGATGATTTGCTCCACAGTTCACTAAACACACACAACTACGCGGTACGCTTCTGCTAGACATGGTAGCTCACACCAACGTTCAGGCGCCGTTTAGCCATAGTGCACTCGCACTGAGTATCACTTTGCCGTCCCCACTGTCACATTGGCAACTGTCATTTCACTGCCTCCTCCGCGACTTGCCTCTGCCAGCGACTGTTTGCTGTCTGCTTGTCCAAATTGATTGAGCTGTTTTTACTGGCCTTGCTTTCCCCCGACCCAAAAAAAACTGGTAACTGGAGTAGTCTATTAATGCACAAAACCGCACTTTGACTGCTTGGATGGTTTTCCACCTTGCAGATCTGGTAGCATGCACGAGGGATGAAAACCTCGTGTGGTGGATGGGTACGCCCTGCAGAGAGGGTCGCTCTGTTACGTTGCACCATGGTGCGTTCGTATACCCACCACCCCTCCAGTAGCACGGGTGCATCGCCCATCGCCGGTGGTTCTGAGCCTGGCCTTTAAATTCGGGAAAAAAAAAAAAGAGCACTGCTGTTTTCTGATTGTTACTGCTGGTGTTGGCCTCGCCTCGGTTGAGCTATTTGGCAATGCCATAAACAATAACAAAAACTGGCCTTTTCGCCTGTCCAAAAGTATTCAATAAAAAATCAATATACCTGGGATAGCCAGAAGAAACTCTGCGATGCCCATGGCCTACGTCGACGTGCGTTGCTGTAGCTGCCTTCGTCAATATCGAGGCTACACCGCGCCAAAACCTACCTCGTCAACCAAACAAAAATGACAAACCAAATTTGCTGCTCCCAGGAGTGGACACATACAACACATATAAACATACATTTAGACTCCCGACTCTCCACTATCAACATCCGAGGATAGCATCGAAAAATCTTCTTCGTCACGCACCACTCACTGATTAAAGCTGATAGTAGTGCTTCGGGGACTGGGGACCTTCTCCCTCGCATCCACCTTCCTTCCTAGATTGTCCTAGTATCGTCCTTCTTACTAACAACCCCCAGGAATTTACACCCCCCAGTCGTTACGAGTTTGGTTTACCCTCACCACACCGCCTCTTAGCCCACATGCAGTAAACTGTCCTGTCTCAGGTAGTATAGTTATATTGGCAATCTTAGCTTGACTCTGATGACTACACTACTGAGTACAGATTCATCCTTATCCTGTCTTGTTTAATCACCTGATGTCCTTCCATAACTGTGGTAGACGTTCATTTTTTCCCTATTAAAGGACTATATCCTGTCTGATAACCCCTATAACTCTCCAGACCTTATTGA